GTGATTGAACGTCTTTTAGCATTATCGAGACATATTTTAGGCGTTTGGGTCTTTTGCATAGCTCGAGTTGCTAGTGCAATACTGTAGCATTTACTGCGATCAAAACGGTCATCATTGATCTGGCTCAATCTTCTTAATACAAAACTCATCACATGAAAATTAGGCGTCCATGGTCACAATAGCCTGCGCGATTGTGTTACCACACCTACGACAGTCGTCGTATATGCTTACTACCCGTCACTCTTCCATTGGCCAAGCCCCGAGGATCCCAGTCTCGGAAGGCGCACCTTCGTCGGAAAGCCGCACCGACAACAGCTTCCGTCTGCGTCTACCATCGACGCCATACACACCTTCGCTCCACAGCCCCACTGTGCTATGTGGTACGAAAGTACAAGCCAACGGCGAACCCTGAAGTTATGCGCCTTGCGCTGGTGTGCTTGACTGGCCGACATGCTGCCGGCTGTCGGATCTCGATCGTACTGCTAATCGTTCGCTGTTTGCTAACATCCGAATCATACTTACTGCGCAGTACTTTAGGTCTAATCGCAATTGCATAGAGGGAATATAGCTCTGTCATTTGATATACTTTACTGCATCTTCAGGATCTCGTGGGGAAAGACGTCATGCCGGAAGAAACACAAGCTTCACAAGCTCACCACCCTTCCGCGGTATCGGATAGCCAGGATCACAAGTTCAATCCGAATTTCACTCAGGCGGTAATCAATGCGACGGGACCAAAAGCTACACCCAGGGTCAGACAGCTCACAGCGGGATTAATACGGCATCTCCATGACTTTGCGAGGGAGAATGAACTCACAGTCGATGAGTGGATGACAGGAGTTGAGTTGGTACGTCAGAGAGCTTTCCATGTTTGATATTGTGAGATATAACTCAGCATACTAAACGATGGGCAGATGAATGCAGCAGGTCGCATGTCAGACGCCAAACGCAACGAAGGTCAACTACTCTGCGACATCCTCGGCCTCGAATCGCTCGTCGACGAGATCACGTACAAGCTCGCCTCTACTGCCGCCGACGAACCCACCGCGACTGCCATCCTAGGCCCCTTCTACCGCCATGATGCCCCGAAACTGCCCATGGGCTCCTGCATCGTCTCCAAAGAGATAAATGAGCAAGGCGATCGAACATTGATGCACGGCATCGTCACGGACTTTAGAACCGGGCAGCCTATCGAGGGCGCGGTGGTGGACGTATGGCATACGGCGCCGAATGGCTTATACGAACAACAAGACCCAGACCAGCCAGAGATGAATCTCAGAGGTAGGTTCACGACGGGCAAGGACGGCAAGTATAGCTTCTACTGCTTGAGGCCAGTACCTTACCCCATACCTTTCGATGGACCAGCAGGCAAAGTGTTGCAAGCGCTGGATAGGCATCCAATGCGGCCGGCACATATACACTTCCTGGTATGTGAAGCCTATGACGAACGTGCAGCCTGATGTGCTAACTTATCTTAGCTCACAGCGCCGGGCTACAAACCTATTGTTACTCAGATCTTCGACCGAACGAGCAAGTACATCGACGACGATGCCGTTTTTGCGGTCAAAGATTCCCTTCTTGTAGATTTTAATCCTTTTGAGGGAGATCCGAAGGCAGACTTTGAGCTGCCGTACGATTTCAAGATGGCGAGCTTCGAGGATGCAAAGAAGCACTCCGTTGCGGGGACGACAGAAGAAAGCGCGTGATCGGTAGAGGTTCAAGCTATCAAGGAACTTCAGCATCGTTTACAAGGTGGTTTCCGTTTGAAGCTCTAGTTGTCATGTTCTAATCGCAGCTATCTGTTTCCGATATCATTCCGATGTTGAGCCGATCTCCCCGCACTGTACTACTCCGCTAACCGTCGCCAACCGAACCGCGGTTGTCATACGCCTTACGCGCGCCCTAGACAGATGCTAACATCATGTGAATGTTATGGTGTTTAGCGTCCATGTTCCGTGCTGTTCCTGCTCTTCTTCCAAACCTTGCTTACGTATCTGCCTTGTTCGGAATCCTCGGCACAGCACGCGGTAAGCTTGTCGCGACCATATCTTCGCAAGGGTTACAAGACCAACACAACTAACAGACGTGAAATATAGAGGTATCAGTTAGTGACTTGAGACCTGCAACACTTCAAAGGAGAAAGAGCTAGAGGACAGCCCACCATGGCGGACAACAAGATAACCCTCGGCCGCTACATGTGGGAGCGTATCCACCAAATCGGAGTCGACACAATCTTTGGTGTACCCGGAGACTTCAACCTGCAGTTCCTCGATTCCATCTATCTCACGCCAGGATTGACCTTTGTCACCAACCAAAACGAACTAAACGCCGCCTACGCCGCCGATGGATACGCCCGCATCAAGAACACGCCCGGATGTCTTGTGACCACGCATGGTGTGGGTGAGCTTTCGGCTTTGAACGGCATCGCAGGTAGCATGAGTGAACACGTTAAAGTTGTCCATGTTGTTGGGCAAACTACGCGGGCCATGCAGAAGAACAACATGATGATCCATCACAGTATTGGGAACAAGCCAGATCACCAAATGTACAACAAGGCTAGCGAGGGGCTGAGGTTCGCGGCTGCAGAACTCTGGGATGTTGCAGATGCACCGAAGGAGATTGATAGGGTGTTAAGGGAGTGTGTTATCAAGAGTGGGCCTGTTTATATATTCCTGCCGCTGGATCTGAGTGCCGAGATGGTAGATGCTGGGTTATTGGAAACTCCCATTGATCTTGCGCCACATGTGGATGAGAAGGCGCGGGATGAAGCGGTCAAAGCTATCCTGGCTGCAGTCGCTGAAGCCAAACAGCCAACGGTACTGGTAGACGCTCTCGTCCATCGCTTCAACGCTGTCCAGGAAGCTGCGCAGGTAGTCCGCAAGCTAAATGTTCCTTTCTTCTCAGCAACTATGGGCAAGGGCATTGTCGATGAGACAGAAGAGAACTTCGTCGGGGTATGGAACGGCGAAGTCAGTTCTCCAGGCGTCAAAGAAGCAGCGAAACAAGCAGATCTGGTGGTGACTCTGGGGTACATACCTGCTGATACGAACTCGGCTGGTTTCTCAAGACCGTTGGACGAGACTAACACCATCCACATCAACTCACACGACGTTGTTGTAAGTCCCTCGCATACCTCATCTGACGTCTATTACTGACATACCCCCTAGGTCAAAGGCAAATCCTACCCCAACACACCCATCAAAGCCCTCCTCGAAGCGCTGACCACCGCCCTACCATCAACCCCCCAACACCAAATCCCCAAACCACAACTCCCACCACCCCGCACACCCCTCGACGCAAAATCAGCCCACCTAACGCAATCCCAACTCTGGCCCGCCATCCAATCCTTCATCCGCCCGGGCGACGCTCTCGTCAGCGAAACCGGAACCTCGAATTTCGGTCTATGTGACATTGACTTCCCCGCGGACATCAGACTCGTTACGCAGATCTACTATGGCAGTATCGGGTTTGCTACTGCTGCGACGCTAGGTGTGGATATAGCGCGGAGGGAGCTCGACAAGAAGGGCGAGGGACGGACTATCCTCATGACGGGAGATGGAAGTATGGCTTTGACGATTCAGGAGATTGGGACGATGATCAAGGCGGAGTGTAAGGCGGTTGTTTTTGTGATTAATAATGAGGGGTATACGGTTGAGAGGTTGATTTGGGGGGCGAGGCAACGTAAGTCTTTTCTCTTTTTCTCCCCTTCTTCTTTATACGCGGACAACAACGAACTAACCACCAACGCCTACAGCATACAACGACATCGTTCCCCACAACTACTCGCACCTCCTGCCCCTCTACTGCCACCCAGACCCTTCGTCGTCCTTCCACCGCGCAACCACGCTATCAGAACTCAGCACCATCCTCTCAAAGCCGCAGCTGCAAAACCCGCAGAACGTCCAGCTTGTGGAACTCGTGCTGGATAAGATGGATACGAGCTGGAAGTTGGGGACTGCGCTCGCGTGGAGGAGCGAGGAGCACAAGGAGTACCTTACCAGAGAAGGGTTTGTCGATACGTATGGCGGGTGGGGGTTGGATGGGAAGGCCGGGGGGAGTGTTAAGTGGAGTTGAGGTGTTGAGAGTTTGAGAATCCGAGAAGATGGAGGGCGGTGTGGGCTGTGTACGTAAATGATGTAGCTAGCATCTTGTATGTAATTCGAGCATACGAATCGATTATCGTATAGATCGTACTCCCTAATCATGCTGGATCGTCATCCAGCTGCTTCTCGCACTTCTTCCCATCCCTTCGTCTTTCCCATCACCACCATCCTTCTCTTTCCCTCCACCTCTTCTGTATCTAAGCAAACACCCCCAATAAACAAAACCACACAACAATCAACTCGTAGATCATAACAGGCTGCCTCTCCCACCCATACATGACAGCCGCGAAGCCCAATCTCAGCGGGATGGTCGAAGCCATCATGCGACGGTTACCCTGGAAGGTAAAGATGAGTTGGTACCAGCCTACTGCTACTGCGCCGAGACCTTTTTCCATCTCGTTAGTCCGGGTTTGGGTATGCGTTGAAACTAATTCTCGACTTACCGATCGATTGTAGCGTTTTATCTGGACCTTCCATACCGGTGATTGCGGAGTACTCTTCTGGGTTGATGAAGGGGTAGATGCCGAGGGCTATGTTGACGATGGAGTGGAGGATGAGGAGGAGGCGCGCCATGCGCGATATGGGTGACATTTTGACGGGTATGGACGTATTCGACAGTCTTAAAGATGTTTAAAGAGATGGTATGATTGATGTTTGAGATGTTGCAGCGAAGGATGCAGCTTTCCAAGGCATTGGCACCAACCCCGCTAAGGCAAGGCGTGCCGTTTTTAGCGCCCACGTGCGGGCGCGGATGTCTCATGGCTTGCGAAGTCTTGGTTCTTGATCCACTTCTATCATCATTTACGGTTCGCTGTCCACAGACAGGATTGGTGTCTACGGTCGTGCGCGCATGACAATAGACAATGTAGGTACGACTGACGTGCAGCCAATATGCGCCTAAACACCACATCCAGGGTTGCCGAAACTACCACCCGCAGCCCACCCATCCAGATCGTAAAACCACTCCGGACTCCTTCCAAAGTGGAAACCATCCCCGGAATCCATGGGCAACCCCTGCATGTACGCATTCATATCGATATCTAATCCCATATTCACATCTCCCAGATCGCTGTCCAGCATACTCAGCCCGTCCATCGTGCCGTCGAAACAAGGGAAATCTATACTATTGTTGCTGCCGGTTTGGGCGCCGGTGCCAGTAGGTAGATGCTTCCCAGTAACGTCATCAGCGCCTTCGCCTCGACCATGCTCTCTTCCTGCGAAGCTGCCGCTGGAGTGACTGAGGTCGATGTCTTCGCCGTGCTCTTCGCGGTATACTGATGCTAGTATTTGACCCATTTCTTTGGTAGATAATTTCGCTGCTTCAAGTACAGCTGCTTCGGGATCGGTCCCGGCTATCAAAGCGTCGATGCGTGCCAGTGCGCAGTTGATGAAGACAACACCCTTTGCGTTCGTCTCGCCGTTTTGAACGCGGGCGACTGCTGTGTGTCGGGATGATTCTAGGACTTGACGTAGGGCGTGGTACTGTGGTGGTAAGGATGTCAACCCTGTAGATGAAGATGTTGTGACTGGTCGTGTAGATACAAGGGGAGCGAATAGCGCCAATTCTTCTTGTCTTTCGTTGATCTGAGAGTTGAGTTCGTAGTACACGGTTGACATGGCGTAGAGGAAGAACGACTTGAAGAACCCCACGCATCGGTGCGTCATGCGCGTCCAATCGTCTTCTTCTCCTGGTGCCAGCTCAGTTGCCGGTGCGTAGATTGCTAGTGATGTATCGAGGCATATCTTCCTGGAGTAATGGTAGCGTGGGTTTTCGTTTGCTTTGGAAAAGTAAGGGCGGTGGAGGCAGAGAACGAAGCGTCGAACTAGGGTATCAGACATCTTGATCTGGAACGGCGTGATGTTTTGTCCTGCTGCTAATGCTGATTTGAAGAACATTGTTTTCTCGCGACAGACGCTGATGAGCTTGGTGCCGATACGCAGTACGTCATCGTAGGATAGGTCGAAGCGCAGGTTGTTGATTACCCTGATGATCTCAAGCCGTGTAGGAAGTGTCTGTGCAAAAGCGATCTGTATACTGCTGTCCGTAAACACGGTTGCCGGCTTCACATCGAGTGGGATGTCTATGCCGCTGCCCATATCTTCGTCGTTGATGTTGGAAGGTGGCTTCGTGTCGTAGTCGTTCACGGAAATCATAGGCGGCATGCCCATGTCCAAGCTGCTTTGGGCGGTGATTTCCAGAACAGTTGCCCAGAGTCTGCGTCGCATCTCGCCATGGTAGACACTGATTTTGGGGAAGTGAGACGGGTCGCGATGTAAGCCGAGATGCATCGCCGTCCGCAACATCGTACCTGCGGGTATCCATATATGGTCGCCATCGATGCCACATACTTGACGTGCAATCAGAATCAATATCTGTATCTGCAATCCTATCATGTTGAGCCGCGACTTTGCATGAGGTGCACACTGCCATTCCGCTGCAGCTTGGATCCATTTCGCAGCTGAGACGCGAAGCTTGGCCTGGTCGGGTCCTGTGTAGAACGGTACGGCAATTGCGCATACCAGTAGGAACTTGTGAACAATGGACGGCTTTGCAGGCGCGGTACCGAGCCAGTATGCATCGTAGACTCTCCTGAAGGAAGGTACGTGTAGTACGCGAAATACGCCTTCGAATGTACGGAGATAGCAATCCACCAGTGCGTTGCTGATTTCCTTCGGTGGAATGCATGCCTCCAGTTCTGGTGAAATGGAAGGCTGTGACATGCGAGAGGCCTTGATGATGCGAGCCATTCGTTTGACCTCTGAGACAGTAGAATACAGCTCAGTCGATTTGTTCCTATATTCAGCAATTAGAATTGCGTCTTTACAGAAAGACTGGATGATTACATACACCTCTTTCCTGTTTGTATTGTGGTTCGTTGTAGTATTTGTATCACCGAGAGCGTCATACTGTCATCCGTCAGTTAAGTTTCCTTCGAATAGAAAGACCCTGACAATGTAACCATCGCTATCACCACTTACAGGATCGATAGCATTCATCCAATGACTCTGACCATAGTACTTTGCCTTCACAAACTGAGCGCTCGTATCACTTGCGCTTTCCCGTCTCTGAGATGTACTACTTCTCGGATACTCATTCAGAGTAGCGCTCGCCAGTCGTTCTTCCAGGCCCTGAATCCTATCCAATAAACCGTTGATGATAGAGGCTTGCGCAGAGTCCGATTGCGAGTTCAAGCTAAAAGCCGGTCTATCGGCGGGGAGAGGTTTCGGCTGGCCGTCGCATTCTCCAAGAAGCCCGGGTGCCACACAACGATTGACGATTGCATCAAACTCGCTGGAATGACCGGGTGCGTGAGGAGAAGACCGAGCCGGATTCTGGTCGTCGCCATTGCTGCGACCTGTAGAGGCATCATCCTCGGGTGATCTTTGGTTCTCCGGTCGAATCCCCGGACGTGGAGGTCTAAACGTGCATGTCGCTGATTTTATCCTAGTGCATGCACCACAAGGTTTTCCTCGGTCGCATTTCACCTTGCGCATGCGACATTCAACGCATGATAGTGCTGGTCTTCGTCGACGTTTCGCTGGTCCGTTGCCATCTGTGTCTGCTGACTGGATGGTAGGTTGCTCAACCATTTTGGCTCACAAATGCAAGAAAGTTGATCACAGTTATCTTGACTGCGAAGTAAGAGTCGTGTACAGCATTCAAAGATTCTAACATGGTTGCTGGTAGATGGACAGGCAACCGTCGATGTTCTGTGGAGCGGCTCGGGGCTCGGTGATTTCGGTCATCTCTGAATCCGCGGCAGGGGCGCTGGCCTGCCGCTGAGGCCTGCTCCTTCTGTCTCTCGTCGCAACGACATCATCATTGGGGCGAAGGATTCCAGCTCGCATTAGCCTGGGAACGGTTTGCCTACACAGTCGTGTATTCTGACAGAGCGATGAAATGTTTGGCTATGCCTCGCGACATCACTCCGGTTTGGGTAGCGTCCCAGCCTCCGCCAACTGATCACCATTCATATTAACCACAAACGGTGTCCCTACAGTCTCGCGCGATCATCAACACTCAATTCCGAACGACTAGCTAGATCTCGAAACGCATCAGGTTTGTGTTGGGGAACGCTATTAACTAAATCGCGAATTTGCATTGTCCGCAACAAGAGTCCTTGCCATGGTCTGTATTCACGTACATCTGCTCATAGCCTACAGATACAAAGCGTCCTATAATGCACCAACAAGCTACCCAGGCATCTCTGCCTGACGATGATCATACCTGGCCCCCTAATCTTCTACCTTACGATACGCTTAAAAGTACAACATTCTGCGCGTTCCTTACACGCTTTCCGCGTCCACACAGCTATAAGATGAGGCATCAGCTGCAGCACCACCTTGATAAACAGATACAAGCGGGTAAGGGCAGAGATCCCTCGACAGCACTGTTCCATTAACAGGTTGCGTTCCAACTGCCGGTAGGGTGTCTGGAGCTGTACCGTTTTCGACCCAAGCGACGAGTTGCTGCAGCGCATTATTGACGGGCGCAGGACCAGGGCCACCTGCGCAATGGTGAAGGCCAGGCGCAAGGAACAACCTGTAGTACTCATCCACATCGGCATCCAACGCGGCTACACGGTCATAATACTGTGTTGACCCACCCGAAGGAATCAGGTCATCTGCGATGCCGTGCCAGGTGAGCAACTTCCCTCCTGCTTCCTTGAAATCTGAGAGATCCGCATCGTTGGTGTTGATGATCGAATCCCACTGCTGCTGGCCGGCGTACGTGTAGTCCGGTAGACGCTCCGCGGTAATTGTGGAGTAGTCAAACGTAGCGTTCTTCTCGACGAAAAGCTGGAAGAACTCTGCGCCGAGTTGCCAGGCAGCGGTGGTGAGGCAGGTACCTGCTGCTTGACAGTCCGTGTCGGTCGTTGCCTGAAGGGGTGCATCGAACGCGTATCCTGGGTAGATCTTCTTTCCCCGTCTGTTGGAGACACCATACCATGTAGCGTTGGCTACAGTTGCTGTTGCGTTGGAGATGACATTCGAGCTGCTATTGCCGCAATTGGCGGGCTGCCCGACAACGGTGAATGGGTCGAAAGTACACAATTCCGGGATCGATATGATCGAGTCTTTGACGCCGTCCAGTTCATCGCAAGCGGCAATTGCTGCGGTCCTAATCGCTTCGAACTCGCAATTGGGCGGGTATTCACCGAGCGTGTTCATTACAGCTTGAGCATGGAACAAGCTTGCCAAGAGCGGGATGATGTTCAGTGCGGGTGCTGCGGCGATAATACCGTCAAACGCTTCGGGGTAACGTTGAGCCAGCATCATGCCTTGTCTACCGCCCTGGGAACACCCAGTCCAGCTGTGTCGGTTATTAGCCACTGTTTATCCCAGACACACGATGAAGCGTTGACCGCGAGTAACATCGCAATGTCAGGGTCATACATACTAAGAGTAAGCGGGATAGAAGCTCTCTGTAACCATCTTACCGAATATAGAGAGCTCGTTCAAAGAAACAGAACCGAAGTTCTGCAAAGCAACCACATCGACATTACCCGGAGATTTGAGCGCCCAAGGAAGAGCGGAGACTTCAGTTGCGTTGTGGCCACCGTCAGTGGAAGCTGCCGCATATCCCTGAATGATGGCCGGGAGTAAGCTCTGATCGAAAACACCAGCGCGCCAGCCGCCGCCTCCCACACCATTGAAGCGTCCGTTCCACTGCTCCGGCAGCCATATCTGGAGGTTGACTGTGTCGTTCTGCCCTGGATGGGTGTAGGCCATCTCTACACGGCAGTAGGAGATGTTGTACGATGAGACTCCAAGAAGCGGCACGAGTTGTTCGGCTGGGATAGGCGAGCCTTCTGGTGTCCATTGTGTCTTGGCCTCCGCAGTAAACTTCGTGATTGCCGTGCCATTGAGGTAAGGTTGTGCAAGGCTTGAACAAGCCAATCCGTGCGCTGTTCGGGCTATTAGAAACAGAGATCATGTCGAATGGGTCGGACTCAACATACCTAAAGCCGAATACATCTTGTTCAAGAAAAGACACGGTTCGTGCGAGATAGAAATTTGATTTTGAAATAGGTGAGGACTCTCTCTAAGGTGTGCAGCAGGATGGTGCCTGCGACAACATCACTTATATACGACATGTTTCGTTAGCTGCGATGGGAGGTGGTTCGTCAACACCTAGCTTTTTCCATTATGATGACAATAGCGGCATAGCCGACCTCGCGAGATGGTGGTCCATCAGGGCAAACGAAAACGAATAAACGATTTGCGTGCATTAGGAGCACTGCGATGTGATCGCTAGTAATCCTGCCTTGTCCTTCTGGAGCATAACTACTTCGGCAAGGCGGATGTTACTCTTCCGGTGCAGGATCGGTAAACGAGAACGAGTGCCTCTTTGATCGGCATCTTTAGCGTCAACCTACCAAGTTAGGCTTCCTTTTGGCACCAGGCACCAACAAGCCTCGCCCCCGCATCACGTCCAAGCCATGTCGTTCTCGTTTACAAAAAACCCCAAGCTCACGGAAGCTTACAAACGAACTCACACCTACCGATAGGAGGGAAATCGGATATGCGAGTGCCGAGGACCAGTCGAAATGGCAGTGAAACGATTCCATAGGAAGTCCCGGGCTGGATGCGACACGTGCAAGCGACGGCGGGTCAAATGCGACGAAGCCACACCTAAATGCGGTGCTTGTGCTCTACGACAGGAACCATGCACATACCCACCACAGAGTATCTCGACTAGGTCTAAAAGGATAGCGAAGACGGCCTTGACAACGATAAGCTCATCCTCATCATCACCACAGTCACATGATGAACCGAGCAAGTACACCTGGCATTCCCTCTACGATGCCTACAGCGGCCCATCCTCCCGCCTAGCCACCTATAATGCGACACGAACCCTCGAACTACGCCTCATGCACCAATGGACCACAACCACCTACCTCACCTCCGTGCACCGCAACGCGCTCGTCTTTCGCGACTACGCCGTAACCAAAGCGCTTCAACACACCTACCTGCTAGACATACTCCTCGCCTTCACCTCCCTACACAGCGCCAGCCTCGCCTCATCCACCACCGCTTCACACGACCACGTCGCCGCCGCGCTGCACTACCAGAACAGAAGTATATCCGAGCTTAATGAGCAGGTGTCGCTTGCTTGTATTCCAAAAGAGAGTCTTGACCCAGTTTGTCTTATGACTGCTCTTCATGCTGTTGTTGCGCTCATCGCGAGTCTGATTCCGGCCACGCCGGGTGAGACGTTGGAATCTGTTTCGAAGGTACTAATGCGTGTGAGGAGGTATACGGTGGGTATGAAGGAGATAGTGGAGGAGCATAGTGCGTGGGCTAATAGTGGGGAGTTGAAGCAGATACTTGGAAGTCCTGTTGTTGAGTTGGTAGGAGAAGAAGGCAGGGCGTTCACGGCGGACAAGCTGCGCGCATTGACTGATGCTATACTTGCGAATATGGATCTTGATGATGCTGCGACGCCATTTTTTCGTTGTACTCTAGAGAAACTGGAGAAGGCGTATATGGATAGTGATGGGCACTCGGTTGTCCCTTGGTTGGGTACTGTGGAGCCGGAATTCTTTCAGAAGGCGGATATGGGGCAGGTGCCGGCGCTAGTTATATTGGCATGCTGGGGCGCGCTTAATTGTGTTTTGGAGGATATGTGGTGGATGCAGTATTCTGGGAGGAGGATTGTGGAGGAGTTGGCCTGTCAGCTCGAGGGCTGTGATAGCCGATGGAACGAGATTCTGGACTGGTGTTACCAACAGGTTGGGTTAATGGCAGAGATCAGTGATCGTGTTCGAGAGAACGGTGGAGGTGGGCCTGGAACGGGTTATGTCGTTCTCTTTGGAGAGCATGCATAAATGGCATCGTAAGCGAAATAGTCCAAGTCGTACTCGTTTACGCAATACGCTGGAATCTGATTGCGGTGACGAGACGTGGAGGGATTGGTGTGAGCCTGCAAGACTAGTGTGTAAACCCATGTGGTACCTACAAAGATACTGAGGAGATTCAGGTAACTAGCTCTACGTTAGCATCTAAGCCCGGTTGCAGCACCATCTCTTCCACTTCCTCTACACCAACACCTCGCTAAATGCCACGACAACTACTCATACATCGCACACCCACTGACGCCATTTACATGTCCTTTGTCAAATCGTAAATCTTCTGAATCTCCTTAAGCTCGCCTTCGTGGTCAAACTTGAGATCTTTCAACAATCCGTCTCCGAATCCAAAGACCCAGCCGTGCACGACAGGGAACTCGTTCTCAGCCCAGCACTGCTGCACAGCCGCCGTCTTGACCACATTCCGGCACTGCTCGTACACGTTCAGCTCAACGAGCTTATCGTACTTCTCCTCCTCTGTACCGCCGTTGGCCATAACATCGTCCAGCTCTTTCTGGTGCAGTCTGTAGACATCGCGGATGTTTCGGAGCCAGGGGTTCAGCAGACCCATGTCCTTTGGTGTCATGGCGGCCTTGACACCACCGCAGCCGTAGTGGCCGCACACGACAATGTGCTTAACTTTGAGGTGGCGGACAGCGTAGTTGACGACGGACATGACGTTGAGGTCGATGTTGTTGACGAGGTTGGCAATGTTGCGGTGGATGAACATCTCGCCGGGCTCGAGACCGGTGATGGCTTCGGCGGGGATACGGGAGTCGGAGCAGCCTGTGGGTATTGGATTAGCAAGTTCTAAGTGGTGGGTGGTATAATGGAGTAATGTTATAGGGCGATTGAGTCATTCCAAATGCAACTCACCGATCCATAGATACTCGGGTGCTTGTCCTGCACTCAGATCCTTGAAGAAGCCTGGGTTCTTGTTCCTCATCTCATCGGCCCATTTCTTGTTGTTTTCAAAGATGCGGTCATGGCTCTGCTGCAGGTACTTGCGCACCTCCTTTGGCTCTTCCTTTCCGGTCATTCTGGGCCACGAGAAGTTTCGTTTGCCGGTAGTACTCTGCGGGTTGGATGCTTGCAAGAGGGATGCTGCCCGTCCGGTATGACAGGTTCGCAGGGAAGTCTGATGGAGTAGAGAAGATATGGGAGAAGAAGTATGCAGTAGCGGTGTTGAGCTTGATAAGAGACGAGGAGCGGGAGCGAAGGACTGCCCCGCTGCAACTAGCTCTCGGAGAGCGTGGGGTAACCGGTGCGGCATGACAGGACAAGAAAAAACGACGCGCAAAGGCAAAACGCCAATCCCAGAGCTGCGGGCAGTTTCGGTTTTAGAAGGGAGGGGACGCGACGCTGAAATGCTCGAATTATTTTGCTTCTGCTGCGCGCCGATTGGGCGCTCTGACGTCAAAGGATTGGCTAAGGATCTTTGGACCCCTGTTGTCGATCAGCGGGCGATGGGTCTAGCAACCAGATCTGGGTGAAACCATCGAGACGGTGCAGCCTCACCATATCGCTGCGAAACAACCCAAGGATTATCGGCACATCGAATCCGTTAGCTGGTACACAGCATTCGCCAGCTGCACAAACAATATGGCTCTTGACGACGCCAAGAGAACCATCCTATCGCGCCATGCCGACCGTCTATTGAGCACAAGGGCTTGGCCCAAGACGATCTGTCCTTCCGAAATTGCCCGCGCACTGTCAACAGAGGAGCTACATGCATTGGACGCGTCAGAGTGGAGAGATACCATGGATGATGTACGACAGATGGTGTGGGAGAAGAGAGCGGCTGGGGAAGTCGAAGTAATGCAGAAGGGCGCAGTAGTGGACGTGGAGAGTTTGGCGGATCTCAGAGGGCCGATAAGAGTGAGGAATGTGAATGGATAATACAACACCGTATGGCTGGATACTCTTGCTGACGATAGCATGTATGGTTGCGATACAATACGAAAATTGATTAGTCGTCCCAATTGACCCGATGTGCTGACCTTGAAGAGCCGCACCCCACAAACTCTGACAAACTCCAATATATGCATGCATCCAAACCTTCTTAGGTTCTCAAACTTAGGTATCAGGATGTTTGGCGCCACTAGCATCCAGTCCCTGCCACTTCTCTTCGTCCCATCCCATGCTGGGATCTGTTGCATTCCCAGCTTTGCCCTCTTCTGTAAGATTCTTGATATCGCTCCAATATTCGAGCTTCTTACACTCGTTATCGGCGGCTTCAATAGCCTTGAGAAGGTTGTTGATTCTGCGTCCCTCGGCGTCACCTTCCGGCTTGTGGTCCTTCTTGTGTTGTTCGCGGTGGTCTTTGGCGGCTTCGAAGCGGTCCATGAGTGTGGAGAGGAGTTGGCGGCGCGAATTCTGGAAGATGAGCATCGACATGATGGAAGGTATCTGAACTCGTTAGCTATGTTTGCATGGGAATGCAACATGCATACCTGTTCTGGGAGGTAGTGCAGCTCCTCCCCTCCATCGTCGATGAACTTGTGTATGTAGATGATCTTCTCGCGATCAATGGCAGCTGCCTTGAGTTTCCTCATCAACGTCGCAATATCCCTAATCTCCTCGTCTAGACTCGTTTGTGCGCTGTCGTCCAACAGACCGCTGCCAGTACCAAAGGTCGCTGATCTAGCCAGTGTCGTGCCGATGCTGAATGTCTCGCCGAACATGCGCTCCTTTGCATTCTTCTTGGTCTTTGGTGGCAGTCTCTGCTTGACCCGCCTCCGTAGCCAGCGTCGCCGCCGAACGAAGCTGTGGAACCAAGGGTGGTTGCCATGCCAGGCTGAGCCCTTGAAGAGCAAGCTGTACTGCCAGCCCTCTTCATCGACATCCAGACTCATGTCGACATACCAGCTCTTCCAGTCC